AACTGATTTGGATGCTTGCATGTGTAGGTACATAGGCACCAAAATCAGTTTAATCTTTAGACGCTAAGGGTTCTGTTTCACTATGAGTGAGTAACTGTAGCAGACTCTAAGTATATAGCACACTTACTGTGTTCTAGGTGAGCAAAGACCCTATATTCAGGGTACAAAATATACTCCAAATCTCAAATATAATTTAAGAAGAAAATGTATTAAGTCTTAAGCAAGACAAAAACAAACACATCAGATGAAGGAAACCATTAGCATGAGGTCATAATGGCGTCCAAAGGTTTGCTGAAAATTGGAGGCTTAAATTGGACCAAACCTAACCAAACACTGATTCCGACTCGCAGTGACCCTATAAGGACAGGGTAAAATCGTGCCTGTAAGTTCTTAAGACTGTAACTCTTTACAGGAGAAGGAAAACAAGTGTGGTAAGCAATAAATGCTCTCTGCCCACACACAAAAAATGAAAATTTCTGGAAACAAAAAAAACAATACTTATAAGACAAAGTGTTAATATATTGTCAGACTTGAAAGGCAAATTTGATGGCTATCTGTCCACATTCTTAAACACTCATTCCTTTTGAAATTGCCTACCATATTCATGTAGCTTCACTGAGTTCCAGGTAACAGGAGTTCAAAACATCACTCAAAACAGCCCACTTTCAGGTCCACAGCTCTATCCAGTTTGTCTTATTCGGGCCAAAAGCTTGTTCCCCTTTTGGGCCCAGCCTGCCCTTTGGAATCACAAAGCCCCTTTCGCATGAAGGTGCTTTACCTAACTGAAATCCTCTAGGCACAGATATTAGGAGTCTCTGACTGCTCTTTGATGAACAACCACATAGAAGTTAACAAAAGTCCAGAGGGATGCTTCCACAGCACCTTCCCAGAAACAGGAAGTCCTCCATTGTCTGGTAACCACTCCTTCAGCTGCTGAAGAAGTGACAGAAATCTCTGCATTGCTGTCAAGGGGACGAAAGTTCAAATACAAATCTCTTTGGAAGAGCAGTTTTTAAGTACACTGCATACACACGGAGGAAATAATAAAAGATCCTTTACCCTTCCTCCTCCCCCTTCTCCCTCTGCCACGTGGTGATGAGTATTAAAATTGCATACTTGGAAGCTTTCCACCTCTGAGGTTTAAACAGCTGCGGCCTGAATATTTTTTTTGTTAAATGTTATATTTTGTTTTTATGGGTGTTCTTTTTAAGGTCCATGTTTCATAATACTAGTTCAGACAACTAAGTGGGACTTTACCAACAGGAATGATACTCATGGTATCTAATAAGTGTACTTCCGAATCAAACACATCCTCCTGACAGGAAATTTGACAGCCTATCCCAGGGAAGTACATTCACTAAGGTTTGCTAAGTTTATGCCATTTGTAATAAACATGAGAAAGTTCACATATGAAAAATATGAGAAGAATTTCTAACAGATAACACAAATAAGCCAATGGTATAGTGGTTTTCCATGAGAACAAAATATTCATCAAATGTTCCATGGATCATTGTCAATGCCATCTGGCAGTACTCAAAAAGAGAAATAAGACCAGCCACACCTAACATCTCAAGAAAACAAGGAAAAATTCTGGGTCCTAACAATCCAGATAAGGATAAGGTAGGCAAGCCCCTTGACCCAGTCACTTCCACATGTTAAAAATTACGCTGTTGGAAGGCAGAGCCTCTACCTCACTGAAAGGGGAAGACTACAACTAAGAGCCCCAAGATAAGAGTTTAGGATAGAAGCTAAAACTGTACATGCCTTTTACAGTAGGAAGCAAGTCCCCAAAGAACCACTGAGCAATCTGCGCAGAAGACCAGGCACAAAAACCAGACTCTTAGCCTCTCTAGTGAAATAGAGGGACCTGGGTTATTGAACCAAGCAGAAAGTGACCTCAATAGGGCATTTAGGGTGTGGCTGCTAGGGTTTTGACCACAATGAGACTTCAAGAAGATGCAGTGGTAGCTTAAAAAACAAAACAGGAACAAGAGGACTAGGCATATGCAAAACTTCATCCTGAAAAGGCAAGTCTCCCTAAGCAAAGAACACAGAAGCTCCTGATTCTTAATTGAAAATTTGAGAAGACTTGCATGTAATATTGATTCCCTCTGCCATCCACTGACCCATGGGATTCTCTCTCAAATGAAGAGTAAAGCCACACCAGGTAAAAATGGCATTGACCTCATCCAAATGCCATCTTACCCTAAAAAACCATCCTGTTTGGATGAGCAAGAAAGGTTCAGGCAAACCACAGTATCTGGCAAAGAATACTGCGTGGATAATAGGGTCTTCTGTCCTTTCAAATATATCTTCTTACCTAAATAACACTAAAAATTACAGCCACCCACAAGCAGAAATATCCACTGCAGTAGCATCTCAGGGACGAATGGGGGGTGGAGGGTAGGGGATGGGGAGTGGGGGGAGAGCAGACCACACACACCTGGTCTTTGTTAAAAGGGGTGATAGCACAATGACTCCAGGACCCATGGATCCAGCAGTCAACTGGCCAGAGGGGCCTGCCAAGTAGCATCAATTAGGGTCAGTGTCAACCATCACCAATATGGTAAATCACCAATCACAATCACCCTCCCCAGTCAAGGTACACCTACCAACTGGACGGAGAGTAGAGTTCCTGCCTTGACCAAGGGGAGGGACAGAACTTGGAGGGATAAGGCTGAGCTGTGAGGGCCAGGATATTCCCTTCAAATTGAAAATGGTGAATCATGTGAGATCCCAGCTTTAGCAACTATTACGTTAATGGCAGTTCTAAGGTCTTTCCATCATTTTTATACTTCATCTATGGTTTCACCATTCATCAAGCATGACAATTTTCCGACCCTTCCTCTGAAGGTTGAATTTATTGTAAACTATCTCTTTGCTCATAATGCATTTCTGTAATGATGGTTACTAGGGGTGAAAGGGAAAGAGAAGGAAGGGGAAGCAACAGGTTAGAGGGTAGACAGGTGTTAGTTTAGGTGAATGGGAAAATAGTATCCTATAAGATGGAAAATAGAAAAGGAAGCAGAGAGAAGACAAGTTATTACTAAAAGAAGTGTCTGTAGCCATCCACTGACCAGAGACATGTTTAAACATATGTTGCTTAGAATAAACCTCTGAATGTAAAAACTGGAACCCTAGAAGCAACACTTTGGCATTATCTTCCTATCTCCTCAGTCTGCTCTGGTACTGGGACAGTCTGTTCTTCCTTTCCAAGTTCGAATTCCTAAGGACAGAGCCTCATGATGAACTAACAAAGGTTTTGACATTAACTTCAGGACAGTACTAAAACTGTTTCATTCTTGAAGAGAAAAAGAATAGAGATTACTTCCCACTTTCTCATCTCCCAGGTTCACTAATTGCCTCCCTGGAATCATAGATTAGCAGGAAATATTACCATATATCTCAAGAAATCATCTGGCATTGCCTTGTGGGATGGTGTTATTATATGCATTTAACTGAAGGATTTGTCCAAAAGTGCACTTCCAGTTAAGAGGACCAGTTTTCCTATCTCTCCACGTGATCAGCGGCCTTGTAAAAGGTCATAGATTTATCCCTGATATTGAAAATAGGGACATCTATGGTATGGCTTGGTCAATGCTGTATAAGAACGCAGCAAGAGAAAAAAAGGGGTGTGGTATTTTTGTTTTGTTTTGTTATTTTAAAAAAAGCAGAATATTCCCTACTTCATATCTTCCCACAGACAAAACACATTCCGGAGTTTGTCCTTGACTCCGTAGGGCATGTTTCTACTATGTTTTTTAAGGTCTTTTCCTAAGGCTGGGATGAATCCTCACAAGGAAGCAAGAGATTCCTGGCATTTACGGTTGGACTAGTGGTGGTTAAAGTGCTTGGCTTCTAACCAAAAGGTAAGTGGTTCGAATCTACCAGTCACTCAGATGTTAAAAGATGAAGATATGGCAGTCTGTTTCTGTAAAGACATATAGCCTTGGCAATTCTATGGGGGCAATTCTACTCTATCCTCCAGGATGGGTTATCGGGTTTATACCTGTCACTTTCCCACTAACAAGTCAAAAGAGAACGTTCAGAAGCATAATGTCTGGGGATTCTGAGTTGTGCAACTTGGTGGAGGGGTACAGGGTAGTGCTTGGTTCTCTGGGCTTGGACGTCACAAGGAAGGGTCCTGGTTACTAGAAGAACTGGACAATCTGGTGTAAATATAGTGTAGCAGAGGGCAGCAATGGGGGAGCCCAGAGCGGAGTGAGCTAAGAGGCAAAAAAGCCTGAAGCACAGACACAACTATGGTTTGGTACAATTCAACCTAACCCTGGGCATCTGGTGCTGCTTGACTGCACGCCCTAGCACAATTTCCTCTTTATACATGTCTCCTACATTCACTTGGACACTCGGTTGGCATTTCTTTTTATGGGAAATGGTTTTCTTGGGAATGCTGATGAGCCACTGGAAGGGCGGTACATCAGGCCTGGTTGCCAAAAGCTGCTTAAACCCTGGTTTAAAGTCAGCTCTTCTTTCACTAAGAGCAATAAGATGTGGCATATGGACGCTGCATAGTGAGTGCAATCACCGGTGGATTGGGGGGTTGGGGGGTTGGGGTGTAGCCACCCCGCATCGGGCTTATCAGTATTTGCTTCAAGGCAGAAAGACCCACTCTGGGGGACGGAAGGTGGTGCCACTTCACTTCAACTAGGGGCTCAACTTTTCCAGAGGAATCCTCTCCTGGCCCCACTGCCACCGCAGCCGCTCGTACCCCGGATGGACTTCAAAGGGAACCAATAGTGGCCCCAGCCCTCGGAACAGACACTCCAACTTTGCGCGGAAAGTATCCCACGCACCGCCCCGGGACCCCTGCCGCCGGCCCGGGCACCGACTGGCACTGGCGGAGCGCGTTCCAGGCGCGGAGGGGCGGGAGGGGACGCCGAGCGGGCATGCAATCCGGGCGGCGGGCCGGGCAGCGGCCGCGCGAAGGCCAGGGGCTGAGGGCCGCGGGTCCCCGGCGGCGGCGCAGCGCGAGGACTCACCCCAAGAAGGCAGACTTTCAGCTCCCGGATCGCCATCATTTGCTCAGGGACGGGACCGGGCCGAGGCTCAGCATCCTCCGGCGTAGCTCCACGCCGTGCCCTCGAGAGCGGGCGTCCGACTGTCGCCAGCCTCTCCCTCGGGCCGCGGCGGAAACTCGCGCTCCTGCTGGGCGGCGCTGTGGAACCTCGGTGGTCACATGGCGGCCCGCCTCCGGGGACC